TTTACAGTGTTATGCTGCTGGCAAAGCATCTCCCTGTGAGTGGCTTCTCTTGACATTTCGCAGTGAATTCTGAGATGCAGCATCTCCCTGTGGATAGCTTCTCTCAGCACTCCAGAGAGAGGATTTCTAACAGGACCCACTGATTTCACACCTCAATGAACTTTTTTGCCCACCAGTGAGCAAAAATCATGGTCTCTCCCACAAGGTCTAGACCTCAGCCCTGGAAGTATCAGAAAGATCTCTTCCTTAGACACCCTATTTCAATCCTAAGAGTAGTGGCTGCTCCCTATTTCTGCTATTCCATATGGTTTACAATTCTCTTTGCCTCTTATTAGCCAAACACCCTTAATTCCAATCCCATCAATAATTCCTTACACTGCTGGATGCAGTGGTACAGCCCTATGGTCCCATCTACTTAGGAGGCTGAGGTGGGAGGACTGCTTGAGCCCAGGAGTTTGACGTCAACCTGGGCAACAGAGCAAGACCCGCCTCTTAAAAAAAATTCCTTATGGTAAATGTTCCCTGTTCAAGTTACTATGTGGTTTCCATTTCTTGGACCCTGACCAATGCAAACCCCCACCCTCATTGAGTCTCAGTTCTGCAAGCAATTAAATATTTAATGTCCACCACCTGTGCTTCTATCATTGCCTATGAGTCATTTTGGTTGATGAGCTTCATTCTCAAGTATATTCCTCGGGAAGAACTCAAGTGAATAACACTTCCTGAATTCTTCCATTTTGATAAGGAATTATGTTTTTATATTTGAAAGTCAGTTTTCCCGGGTATAAAATCTTTGGTTCACATTTTCTTTCTCTGAATATTTTAAATATATTTCACCACTTTCTTCTCCCATGAAGTGTTAATGTTGAAGTCTTACAATAATCCAGTTTTATTTCTCTTATAAATTACTTTATTTTTTGGCCTAAGATCACTTTTTTTTTTTTTAGAGACAGGGTCTCACTCTGTCACCCAGGCTGGAGTGTAGTGGTGTGATCATGGCTCACTGTAACCTTGGAGGCCTTGGCTCAAGCAATCCTCCCACCTCAGCCTCCCGAGTAGCTGCGACTACAGATCCCACGCCTCGCTTAATTTTTTTCTTTTTTTGTAGAGATGAGGTCTCACTATGTTGCCCAGTCTGGTCCTCAGGCCACTTTTTTAAAAATGTAAAGTCTAGTAATTTTACTAGAATACATCTGTTGTTGTTCATTGTCAATGTTTTCAGATACAGTATGCTCTCTCTCTCTCTATATATATATATAATCTCTCTCTCTATATATAATAATTCTATATGGTAATATATAGAACCATATATATGTATACAGTCATGCACTGCATAACGATGTTTTAGTCAACAATGAATGGCATATACAAAGGTGGTTTCATAAGATGATAACAGAGCTGAAAAATTCCTGTTGCCTAATGACATCTTGGAGATCTTGACCCTGTGTATGCCTAGACTAATGTGTGTGTATCTTTGTTTTTAACAAAAAAGCTTAAAAAGTAAAAATAATAAAAAATTTTAAAAATAGAAAAAAGCTTATAGAATAAGAATATTAAAAAAGAAAATATTTTTGTACTGCTTTATAATGTGTTTGTATTTTAAGCCAAGTGTTATTACAGGAGTCAAAAAGTTTTTAAAAATTCATGTGGCAGGGGGAGAAGGGGGATGGGTGAAATCATACCTAACGGGCATAATGCATACTATCTGGGTGATGGGCATACTTGTAACTTTGTCTTAAGCAGTGCAAAAGCAATCGATGTAACCAAAACATTTGTATTCCTGTAATATTCTGAAATAAAATTTTTTTAAAAAATTTAAGTTTAAAAAAATTAAAGTTTATAAAGTAAGTTACAGTAGAAAAAATTTTTTTAATAAATTTAGTATAACCTGTGTACAGTGTTCATAAAATCTACTGTAATGTATAGTAATCTAGGCCTTCACATTCACTTGCCACTCAGTGACTGACTCTCTGAGAGCAACTTTCACTCCTGCAAACTTCACTTATAGTAAATGTCCCATAAGGTGTATCATTTTTTATCTTTTATATTGTATTTTTACCACACCTTTTTTCTATGTTTAGATATGTTTAGATGCACAAATACTTACCATTGTGTTATAATTGCCTACAGTATTCAGTACAGTAACATCCTGTACAGGTTTGTAGCCTAGGTCTACCATATAAGCCCTGTGCGTACTAGGCTGTACCATCTAGGTTTTGTAAGTACAGTGTATGTTGTCCGTGTGACGAAATCGCCTAACGATGAATGCATTCTCAGAATGTATCCTCATTGTTAAGTGACTTTGTGTCACTTAACACTATATACACTATATTGTGTATATATATATATATATATATACACACACACACACACACACATATAAAAAAAATCTGAGGAGATATATATGTAATTCAGAAAAAAAGTTCTTGAATTAAAATGTGTTGTATTTATTCTGTTACCCGACTTAGGTTTCCTTTATCAGGGACTTTTAATCTACTAAAGATAAAAGATCCAAGATCTGTCAGATCTTTTCTGCATATCTTCAATATTTATCATTTCTCTCAAATTATTTCTCTTTCTATATTTCTTTTAGATTTAAAAAAAAAAAATCTCATTTTCGACTTCCAGTTCTCTTCAGGCACTATCTATTGTATTTTCTTACTCTTTTGTTCCTTCTATTTTAGTTCCCTTTTCTGAAATCATTTTTTCTTTTATTTCTAATTCTTTCCCAAGTTCTCTTACTTCATTCTGAGTTTTTCTTTTTCTGACTTATTTTGCTCTTTCATGTCTTATAATAGCAGTCTCCAACATTTTTAGTACCAGGGACTGCTTTCACAGAAGACAGATTTTCCATGGATGGGAGTAAGAGGGGGATGGTTTCGAAATGATTCAAGCTCATTACATTTGCAGCCATTCCCCAGAACTAGCATCACCACCTCAGCTCCACCTCAGATCATCAGGCATTGGATTCTCATAAGGAGTGCACAACCTAGATCCCTCGCATACGCAGTTTATAGTAAGGTTCTCAATCCTATGAAAATCTAGTTGCCACTACTGTTCTGACAGGAGGCAGAGCTCAGGCAGTGATGCAAGCTACGGGGAGTGGCTGCAAATACAGATGAAGCTTCCCCCTTCCTGGCCCACTGCTCACCTCCTGCTGTGCAGCCCAGTTCCTAACAGGCCATAGACTTGTACTGGTCTGCAGCCCAGGGGTTGGGGATCACAGTCTTATAACATTTTATTTATGTCTTTACAGTGACACTGTGCATGTGGGACATAAACAGTGGTATTCAAAGCAAGTCCATGTCTCCAGTAATCACGATATTTCACTCATTTCAAGCCGTTTTCATTTTTTTGTTCCTGTTTCTCCTGTCTCCCCACCCCAACCTGGTATACTTGTTTGTTTGAACATTAAAACTTTCTCATAGTTGATTTTAAAACCAACTTTGTAAGGATAAACCTTTCTAGCTATAGGCCACCATAATCTTTCCCTTATTTTGAATTCTTATATAGATTTTCAAATGTTTCATGAATGCCCTTCCCCACCAGATCATTAGCTTCTTACAGCCAAAAGTTACGGCTTTTATATCTTTCAGAGTAAAATAAAAAACGATTCTGGGCATTGTTGGGACTCAGAAAGCAACAACCCAAAATGAAGGGCTCAGAAGTACAAAGTTTTTCTCTGACCTTCTCCTGCCGGCCCTGTCTCTCCATCCCATTCTCCCCCAAGGCTAGCCATAGAAACTAGAATCCCTCTCCCCCAAGATGGGCCATAGAAAGCTGAACCCCTTTCCCCTAAAGCCAGCCATGAAGCTTAAACATATTACCCTAACTTTCCCCTTGCTTTTCTGTGTAAAACTGGCCATAAATAAATTGTCCGACCTACCTTGTTTGACTGTAGGTAGTCAGAGCCCCATTCCAGAGGGGGTCAGGCCCTACACCCAGGGGAAGGAAGAAGGAAGGAATGTACGCTCAGAGAGGCCAAGAGAATCTAGACAGACAGGGCTTGCTGGGTCACACCCTTTTTGTTCTATCTTATTTCTACATGGCTGTCCATACTTTGTTGAACCTAAGCATAAAAATGGACAATTTGCCCTGTATCTTTGGGTCTTCATTCTGAAAGCTTCTGTGTCACGTAAAACTATGATCAAATAAATTTGTATGCCTTTTCTCCTATTAATCTGCCTCTTGTCAGTGACTTTCAGCAAACCTTCAGAGAGTGAAGGTAAAGTTTTCCCTTGGTCCCAACAGCATCATCATTAATAAATATTTCCACAGTGTTTGGCCCCTGTAGGTCCTCTTTCCACTGCTGTAGACACAAGCTTTCTGCTCCAGCAGAACTGTGCCTTTCTTCACATCCATTGTCTCAATCTTAGGTGTCTTGTCCTTTATTTTCTGTTACGCAAGGCCCGGGTCATATCCCAGGGCTTTGGAGGACTCATGATTCCCCCTTCCTCTGAATTATATATAGCGCCTCACATATTTATATTTTAATATACTTTCCTAAATCCTTAAGTTGATTATAAGCCTCTCGGCAGTAGTGATATGCTAATTTATGTCCCAGTTTAGTCTGACTTTTAATTTCTTATCTTCTGAGTGGACAGATGCGTCCTGTATCACCTTCTCAAGTACAGATGGTTAACTGGAATGAATGCGGGCAGGCACAGCAACAAGCGCTGCACCTGGAGACCAAAACCACGCGCGGTTCCGCAGTGGCAAAGTCTGCGCTGACCCTGGGACTTCTCGGAAATCCTGTCCATCCGCAGTTTCTCCTCGACAACCTAGCTCCAACCCCACGGGACATCTAGAGAGCCCTTAGGCGTTACACTTCATTAAAACCATACAGGGAAGCAGGGACACTCTGGACCCAACAAGCGGCAAGCCAGTGACTCTCCAGCACCTGACCGGACTAGGGCCCGAAACCCCACCGCTCGGCCCTCCCCGCCCGGCTCCGCCCGGCGGCCGGCGTCCCTCCTGGGGGCGGGGTTTCCGCTTCCGGTGGTGGATTGTTGACGCCTGTGGCTGCTGCGGTGGCGACGGTGCCGCTGGGGAGGGGCCACTGGGGAGGGGAGACGGCGCAGTGACAGGTACCGCGGAGGGTGCTGCTGAGGCGACATGGCAGAGGGGCCCGAGGAAGCCCGAGGCCGCCCTCCAGGGCAGGACGACGGCGGAGGGGACCACGAGACCGTCCCTTCCCTGAGAGGCCCTCCCGCCGCCGCCGCCCCGTGCCCCCGGGCTGGGCCCCAGGTTGAACCCCAGGCCCCGGGCCGGCCCCCAGCCCCCGGCCTCGCGACCGCCGCCGAGGAGTCGCAGCCGGCGTGCGAGCTCAGGAAGCGCGGGGAGGCGGCCTCCGGCTCTGGTGCGGAGCTGCAGGAGTCGGCGGGCTGCGAGGCGCTTGAGGCCGCGGCACCGCGGGAGAGGCAGGCGCGGCTGAGCGCTCGCGAGTACTCCCGGCAGGTGCACGAGTGGCTGTGGCAGTCCTACTGCGGCTACCTCACCTGGCACAGCGGCCTAGCCACCTTCCCCGCCTACTGCAGCCCCCATCCGCCCACACCGACCTACCCCTCGGGCGGCGCTGCGGGTCCCCAGGCTGCGGCGCCCCCGCCCCCCCAGCTGGGCTATTACAACCCCTTCTACTTCCTGAGTGCCGGGGCCGCGGGGCCTGGCCCCGGGGCGGCCACGGGCATCACCACTCCTGCTCCAGTCGCTGGCCTGGGACCCCGGGCCCCTCACGTGCAAGGATCAGTCCGCGCCTCTCCAGTGACGAGGGTAGGATCCGCAGCCCCTTCGCGAACCCCGAGCGAGACCGGGCGGCAGGCAGGTGAGAAGCGCGAGGTAGAGGTTGGGCGGAGCGTAAGGGTCTTCAGTGAACTGCCTGCGAGGTAGAGCGGGCACTCTTTTTAAATCTGTAATTGCCACTCTGATTATTGATTCTCCGCGTGCATCAGCTATGGTTTGTCCAGGCCTTAAATTCCTAAAGTGTACGGGGCTATACAGTTTCTTATTCCTTTAGAACTGGCACTCCGAATTGATTCCCTTACTCATGGGACTAGTTATTTCCACATGTAAAGAAATCTTTGCTCTTCTAGCCATCCTCTTACCTTGATCTCCACGCTCTGGAGAGAAAGCTCGAAAGCTAAACTCCCAGATGGCAAATCCACTTTCGGAGAAGCTTGACTGGTAGTCTGGAAATAATCCAGACATTGGCTGCTTAGGGACAGTGGACCTGAAGGGATATAAAAGGAGATTTACGTGAATACAGATGGAATCAGGAAGCTTAGATTGGGCCATGGCTTACAGATCTTGTATATTATCTAATTGTTTACTTCTGTATGGAAACTATAATATTTTTATTTAGTTACATTCTTTGGTTTACTGACTTTTTGTTAGTTAAACTTTTTGTTTAATTTGTTCAGCCACGGATATATGGGACAAAAACTAGCTGATGCCTGAATATAATCCCAGTCAGAATTGATAATTATCGAGTTTATTTTATAGAAAGCAAAGCAAACTAAAAGAAGAGGGGAGAAATACAGGGATTTACTTTATACTAATTGTCTGTACTTAACTTTGATTTTTACTAAACCATTTAATTTTACGTACTCTAGATGTGATCACCTGGATTCTCCTCCTTAGATTTTCTAGTGACATGTATTGGGTACCCTAATCAAATTTATCTGTGAAATCAATTTTTAAACATTAAGGTATTGAAAGCAAGCTTTAAGCAATTCAGTAAATAGTGGAGTAGTGTTGCTGTATTTAATAACATGTACTCTTGGTAGAATCAATATCAATGATTGCTGTAAGATTATAAATTATTTATTATCCAGTTGTACCTTGATTTTCCCCATTCATTACCTGGCTTGTATTGTAAGGCCTATGTGAAATGATTAGTTTTCCTAACCACCCCCCCCGCCTTTTTTTTTTTTTAACAGGCAGAGAGTATGTTATTCCATCCTTGGCCCACAGATTTATGGCAGAGATGGTGGATTTCTTTATTCTCTTCTTTATAAAAGCAACCATTGTCTTAAGTATTATGCACCTCAGTGGAATAAAGTAAGTTAAGGACATTTACAGAAAGGTTTTAATTTCTACTGTTTAGAGATCTTGTTTTGTTAAATTCTGATCATGCCTGCAAATGATTGTATGTATAATCAGTGTGCCACTGTCATGATTTCTTTATAAGAGCTTTGTCAGATTTATTGTTTTGTTGGTTTTAAGAAATAACTACAAAGGAGAAAAAGACTCTTAATAAATTCTATAAGATGTGTGGTATTTTCACCTATCAAAAGCAGATAAAAGGAGCCTCCAAATCTGGTTTGATTTTATTCAACTATTCTCTTAGGCCAGGAACTAATTTTCCTTTTACTACCTTGTAGAGTCCTTAAACACAGAGGCATAAAGAGCTTTTGATAGGTGAGTCATTAATAATCAACTAGATGGCATTTCCAAATGGGATTGCTTATACTATCAGGCAAGTCCCAAGTGAACTGCAAAGTGAGACATTTATTTGAATAATCCTCCTTTCAGATTAATAATAATCCTAATAGGAGTCAGTTATCACTTCCTAAGCACTTCCTATGTGCTAGGCATTGAGCTCACCTCTTTATATGAATTCTTATTTAATTGTTAATACTACTATGAGGTAGAGGTTAATACTTCCATTTTATAGAGTTTGAAATTTGGGTTCATGAGAAGTTAAGCCCAGAACTTAAAAAGTTACAAAGGTAGTAAGTGACAGAGTCGAGATACAAACCCATGTAGTCAAATTTCAGGACTCTTGCCAGGAACCTGAGTGTTACTGTGATTCCTTCCTGTTCCTCCCACCCACCCTCTCTCTCATCATTGCTTCTCCCTAGTCCAGTTCCTGTCATCTTTTGCTTGGATTATAGCAAAAGTCTTCTAAGTGGTAACTCTGTCTTCTTTCTCCTGTTTTATCTCAATCAAGTTTCTGATATAAAGCCAAAGTGATCCATAAATTCTGATTCTGCCCCTCTCCTGCCTTAAAACTCTTCAATGATTTCTCATTGCCAACAGGATAAAGTCTGAATTTCATCATCTGGTTTAACAGATGCCCTTATTTCTTAATTACTGTAACTTCTTGCACTTAATATTTGAGCCACACCAAACTGCTTTCAGCTTCCATCACATAATCTCTTGCTTTAAGGCTTTCTCTTCTGCTGTTCCCTTTCTCTGGAACTTTTTTCCCCTTCTTAGTCTGGCTAACTTTCGTTCATCCTTCAGATCCTAGCTTAAATGTCATTTCTGGGAAGTTTTTACAAGGTTAAATGTATCTGGTATATGTTTCCATAGTATCCTGTGGTTTCCTATCGCAGTTCTCATCCCACTTTATTATTGCTACTTATTTATTCTGTTTTCTTGCTAGGTTAGAATCTCCATGAAAGCAGAAAGCGTGTTGAATTCATTCACCATTCTGTCCCCAGGGCTAGTACAATGCCTGCTTATGATAATACTGCTTATTTGTTGAATACGCTAATGAATGTTTTGTGAAACTAGATGGTTAGGAATCTAAAGATTAGTTTAGAATTTCAATTATAATTTATGATTTACACTAATGAAAAAAAAACAGTGCAAGTGTTCTGATAACTAATTCTTTATAACCACAAACTATTATTTTGTGTAGGGATATATCTAAGTTTGCTATGCATTATATAATAGAAGAAATAGATGAAGACACATCAATGGAAGACTTGCAGAAAATGATGGTTGTGGCTCTTATATACAGATTATTAGTTTGTTTCTACGAGGTAAGCTACTAACTTCAGCAAATATTAATATTTAACAATTTAATTTTAGATTATCAGCCCAAGACAAAAAAGTAGCAGAAATTTGTAATTATTCATGCATTTTTTAAAATGCCTCTTTCAACTTTTCTATTTTTTCCAAATTTTCTTTAATAACATTAAAAAAACAACTTTCGGAAGTGAGACATTTTATAATTTCTTTGTAATATTTTTCAGTCTTGGGAATTCAAATACAGTTCCACTCATAAATAGATTGTGGTCCAAAAATATACTTGTAAGTTGGTTGAGGAACTTGAAATATATTTTTCCATAGAAACAACTTGCTGAAAAGTATAATAGGTCATAGAGAAATATTACAGTAGACGTCTATGGTATTGAACATGTTAAAGACCTATAGAAACACATTAAATGGTTAATATTTGAGTATTCTATGCAGTTCTTTCAACTTAAAATTTTAAAACATGAAATAATATGGTAGGACAACTTATCTTTAAAATTGGTGTAGTTGAGCTAGTAAATTGTTTTAAATTATCCTTCTTTCCTTAGATAATTTGCATTTGGGGAGCCGGTGGAGCTACCCCAGGGAAGTTCCTGCTAGGGCTTCGAGTTGTGACATGTGATACATCAGTACTTATTGCACCGAGTCGGGTTTTAGTGATTCCTTCCTCAAATGTTAGCATTACAACGTAAGTCCTTTTCTTAGCTTAATCTACTATATACTTACGAAAAGTAATATATTTTAAGCATAGTGGTTACTGTAATTCATAAGTGATAGCATTTGATATAGTGTTTTAGAATATTGGTATGTTTTTTCTTAATGGTATGTTATTAGAGAGACTTTCATTTATTAAGTTTACGATGGAAAGTTTTGAGTATTTATTTCAATTGTGTTATATGATTGTAGACCCCTGTTCAGTATACATTTTCAAGATGTTCATTTTATGACATGTAAGTCATAATAATGAGAGGATGATTTGGGTATTAATGCTGTGTCAGTGTTCCATGCCCAGCTTTCTTATCCTCTAGATCTGTGGACATTGGTCAGTTATTAACCTGTCCTGAGCCTCCACTTGGTAATACCTGTCATAATTCCATCCTGAGTAGGTGGTAAGAGTTTTGACAGCTATGCATTCATGCATCCTGCTCTTGCTCTTAAGCAGTAGAGCTTTTATTACTTCCGGTGCTCAGGTGGCGTCTAGCTCCAGGGGAAGGTCCAACTGGTGATAATGGAAGTTGTGGAGGTTGAGTGGGTGGTAATCAGTTGAGCCAAACAAGATACTGGCTGGAAGTGTTGCCACAATGATTCAGAGCTAGATTGTTATATCATGAAATATGAACAAGTGACTCTGAAAGAAGCCTCAATTTTGCTGCAAATTTTGTGGTTATAATCCTAGCTACTTCTTTTAGTAAAAGAGTGGCTCATGTTTATTGAGCACTTCTCATATACCATCACTGTTAATAACACTGCATATCTATTAACTAATTTAATCCTAACAACCTTATAAGATAGATACTGTTATCCACTTTGTGCACATATGGAACACAACTAGTAATTAGAAGGTGGATTTGAATTCAACTGTTCTGGCTTCTTAGTCCACACTGTGAGCCACTGCACTTTTCTGTGGCCTTTCAATGCACTAAAAAGCAGAAATCTAACATTAATAGGATAATTTTCCATTCTGAGCAACGGTTGAAAGCTTTTTAAAGCTTTCCTTAATCACTGGATCCCACAAAGGAGAGAGCTGATAAAAGAACACACAGCAATTTAAAATGTTATTGCTTCATATAAGGTAGAAAATGGGACTACAATAGGCATACTTAGCTTAGAAGATACTAGAAATACATGGAAATAATAAGTGACTGTAGAAAAGTTAAGCAAGGGGAACAGTTTTTCTGTTCTTCTGGCAAAATACTAGAAAATACTGTAAACTCTTAGTTCATATTCTAAGACATGTTTATTAGTGATTTTCATGTTAAAATCCTAAGGTCTTTAATGTTGATGAAATCTTTAAAAATAGTCCAGGTGATTTGAACATGATACTGTGCTACTTGAAAATAAATATCAGAGGTAAAAATTCTCTCAACTACACTTTGAATATGTTTTAAATACATAATTTTAACTTGATGGTAATCTATATGTGGTTGATGTACAACTTACCCGATATTTTTGCTTTAATTTTTTAGGTCCACTATACGAGCTTTGATCAAGAATTTTTCTATTGCTTCTTTTTTCCCTGCTTTCATCACACTGCTGTTTTTTCAGCATAATCGAACAGCCTATGACATTGTAGCAGGAACCATTGTGGTAAAAAGAAATGGGGTCAGATGATGCTCAAAAAAACCCTGAATTCCACACTTTATGGAATAATGACAAGACTAAACTATGTATCAAGGCCATCAGTATCCCTGGGTTATATTAATTGATGATTTAGAAATTAAAGCAGTCACTGTAGTGTGATGCAGCTGACTATTCTGAAAGTATTGATTTTACTTGAATGCCAAAGAACTTTTCCAGAAGAAAAACCTGTTAAATTCAAGTGTTAAAATTTTTAGATCGAAAAGAAGGCAAGTGGTTTTATAATCGACAACGGACAATATATACTTTCTTAAGATCTAAGGCATTAGAGTTTGTTGAAAGCATTTTCAGCTTTGAAATCTCCAAATGAAACTTTAAAAATTTACTTTGGTTTATCCCAAAAGGATGGAAATATGTCCAGTTGTGTTTTGTAAACACCTATGTAATTCATCTTTTAGTTTACACTTCCTAGGGAAATTGTCTTTGTTTTTGGAGGGGAGGGATTGGGTCACAAATTGGATAATTGAGTTATCTCCCATCCCAGGAGGCAGTGAGTTAGCTGCAAGAGAAAGGGATAAGTGAGACAGGCCTAGCAGTTCCTTACCTGAAGTTTTCCAGTCTGTACTGCAGCTCACTGTGGTAATGATGTAACTTTACAACTGCTCTTAATGCTTAAAACATGTATTTGGGGGCAGGTTTTTAATGATGATGAAAAAGTATTAAGTCATATTGCTATATTACCATTGACTCTTTTAAAGAAAAGGTAAGTTAGTGATTGCTTTTAATGGGAGGGGGGAAGTAAATTTTCACTGTAAACTTAACTTATAATTCATGTGCAAGTGTTTTCAGCACCCTAAATCAAACTGTAAATATGTGGAGAAAAATTACTTCCATCACGTTGTTGCATATTTACTGTAAAACAATATTCCCAGTATGTGTGCAGCATGAAGAAAGCATTAGTGCTTTTCAGTGTTCTGAATATAACTTCTATTTATATACAGCATATTCACATACTACTTTTTTATATACTTCGGTAACTGTTGAAACATCAAGGAGTTAAAAAATCTTAATATCTCATGATTAACTCTAAATACTAGTAGCTTGTGAAATATTAGCAATTTTCCCATTATGGACTGTTCTCTCTAAAGAAGGGAAAGTATCATTTCCAGACATTATTCTAGGTTCTTTAAGCTCATTCTGGGCCTATTAGGGATGAAGTTCTGGGGGAAATGTTAAGCAAAGTAATAAGTGGTGTATTACCACCTTTATTCTTCTGTTGAAACAAAATATTCTTCTGTTGAACACTCTGGGTTTTATGTGTGTGTATGTTTATGTCAGATGTCCCAGTTACATGTGTTGAGATATACCTGCACTATTTATAGTTTCAGTTTTATTGGGTTCTTAGGTATTTTCTCCATCTCTGATATTATTTTCAGAACAAACACTAAACTCTATTGCACAGTTCAAAATTAGATTGCTTAAGGGATCAGTCTAGGCATTGTTCTTGATCTTAAATTTAATAGAAAACGCAAGACACCTGTTATCACTGTATCAATTTTTAAAGTGGGTTTTTCTTTGACATTTAAAACTGTGAAAATAGATAATCACATTTAATGTTTACAGAAACTTTTAACAATGTTCTTATTAATACTTTTTAAATTATAAAATTTCATAAACCATGTTTTTCAAAATAATTTTATATCAAATCCAACTTCACAGAAACCCTATTAAGTATTTCAGTGTACTAAACAGATCATTCACTTGTTCGTGCTGGGAAGATTTAGTATTATGGCCCTTCATAGTTTTTAAGAAAAATCTTTCATTTTTTAAATTAGACTAGAAATTAGGAAGTGTTACATAAAGTTAGCACTTTAGTAGTATATGGACACTAACATTGGAGTACACTACTTTTGCCACTGGTTGGGGAATTCAAGTTGAAATGTCCTTCAGTCATGTAGTTCTGGAATACATCTTTGGTTTATAATTTCTGGTCAGATAATTGAATGGTTTGCCAACTAAGCTACATTCATGTATACAGTAAAACAAAAGCAAACAAGTGGTCCACTTTAGTTTGTTATACTTAAAATATTACACATTTGCTACACATGAATAATTCAGATTAATATATATGTAGGTTCATTCAGAGCCAACCATGGATTCAAGTTACATAGTCCTATAAGATACATAAAAGTATTACTTTGTCTTTACAGCAAAACCCAAGTGTTTCTATTTATGAATTCAGTTTGGAAAAGAGATTTTGATTCCCAGAGTTGCAAAAAAAAATGACAGAACAATGGGGAAAGAGGGAACCAGGCCTTAGTACCACATATTTTTCTCTTGGGGTTGTTGGGTGGAGTCTCCTTTTCAGAACTTTTTTCTATTTAGCATATTTCACTTATACTGATTTTCTGTGTCTTAAGTATAATTTTCATGCTGAAGCTCTACCTGAAAAGGCAAAAGAAAACTTTCAGCTTTCAAAGCCTTCAACTTTCTTTTAGTGCAAACATGATTCATCACTGTAACAAGATATGTAATAAGGGAACAAAAATTAGGATTCAGGGGGAGTAAGAATACTATTTCAATGAGCATGCCCTAAATTAAACTACAGCCCTGGCAGTTAATTTAGGCATCCAGAAAATCTCAGTACCCGTCACCTACGTGTCCGGAATGGCTGGTGCACCTTTAGAAAAGTCTGGCGTACTGACTAATGTTCAGACTGGAGCCAGAAGCTAGGTCCTAGGTAGGTAAGTGTGAATGATGGCAAACCCTGTTTTTAAACTACTTTTTGATTATAGAAATAAAACCAACACTTTTGGATGGTAAGCCTTCACTTGTCAGTATTACAAAAAGTATTGCCCAACTGCTACTTCTCTACCAATGGTTCAGTAGTTACTTGTTTCTCTCTAAACATTTACCTCCCGGTTTCATCCAGGTATTCAGGATTGAAAAAAAAGCACTATGGTTGAGGGCTGCTTTTTCCAAATTACCAAATGAGTTAGTGTTTTTTATTGTTTCAAGTGATAGTAAAAAGAAAGGATTTGTTCCATTCAATGATTTGTGTGTTTATAAATATTTCCAGCAAAGGGAAGGTAGAAAGGAGTTGAAAATTATACCATTTGTGAATAAAGGGATTTTTGAGGTGGATAACGATATTAATGTTTTCATTGCACACTTGTCCCTATTTAAACAGGCTGTTTCTTTGAAGAATATGCTCACAAAACAGTATTTCTAAAGATCCGCAAGGAGCACCATTTCAATTGCCTGCCATTCTCCCCACCCCCAATACCAAAGGCCAAAGTCTTTCTAACATGTGCTTGCCTGGGTAAAGTTCATTTCAAACTGTGTGTATATATTTTCTTCCGGTTCATTACAGGAGGGTTTGACCTGCAAACGGTATCTGATGGCCCATGTATAAATAAAATTCGGCATTCTATTTTTAATAATTTGTATGCCACCAATTTGTATTCTTTGTCTCAATAAATACTTAGTCACCTATGCATCTGTGTTTTATCTATTTAAGAAGGTTCACTCTGGAATCTCCTGCTGAGACCCTGCTTCCAAATACAGCTTTTCCAGTGGCTACAGCAGTAAGCAGGAATACTTTCAGAAAGAAGTTTATGACAAATCATCCACTTTTAGGGATATATTTATTTTATATTTATATTCATTTATTAAGTACACTCAAAAATTACCTGTGCATGAACTAACCTTAATTGTAAACTAAGCCAATCCTTGAAGTATTGTTAAGCATCACGACCACCACGCAAGATGTTACGTCTCAGCTAGTATATGAGCTGGGCAATTTAAACCCACTTCTACCTTTGAAAGCCTTTCCTATTCTAACCTTTCTGAGCAAGTCCAGAGGGGAAGGGCAAGACACAAAACAAGTTCCACAAGAAGAGCAAAGATAAAGGATAAACTTGAGTGTAACTAAAATACAGCCCAGTCTGAGCCCTGTAGACGGTGTGCTTGCTGTTAATGAGCCTAGTCACACATTTTAGAACTGAAGTGGACTTTTTCAGGAAGTTTATGAAAGTTACCCATATTGCAGGGAAATGACAGTTCTCATTGACATGGTCATACAGCTGGTGTGTGTAGCTAGACCTAATACCCCTATTTTCTCAATTTTACTGTATCAAATTTGTCTGTTTCCATTAAACACACAGACTAACCTTTATAAAATTTCCATTGAATTTCAAACTTTAAACAGGCCCAGAAAATGACATGCTAGTAAAATTAAAGCAAACACAAGTTCTTCCCTGGCTAAACAAGGAAGTCTATGGCCTGGTTACAAATTGTTAAAATTAATTCAACAATTTCAAATAATAAAATGCTAATTACATAAATAAACAATTTAGAATTCACAACATAGTAATAAGCAGCTTAAAGACATTTTTCAGCTGAATTGTACTTTGTCTTAATGCCTGGAATTGTAATTACTCAAAACCAACTAGCACTTTGCTTAAAAGTGATATCCCTGGACTTCAGTGCATCAGAAATCTTTTAGGTGCTTATTTAATGGTGCAGATTTGTGGACCCTATCCAGACCCAGTGTGTGAATCTCTGGCAATGATGTCCTGGACCATATATTTGACAAATCTCACAAGTAATGCTGACAATACATTCAGTAAGGACCACTGGTCTGTTGGTCAATCAACCAAATTATGAAAACATACCTGATTATTCAATTAAACATTCTGCATCACTTTCCCTCCTTCAAAGAGTCTTTTCCATTAAAAACAATCCTTACTGGCCCACCATGAGAAGTGGACTTTTATTATCTTCTTTCCAACTCTGTTTCCCTTTCTTGCACAAACAGCCCTCAAATTTCACTTGTGTGTGAAGCATAGTTACATGCCGTTAAAAAGGAGCAGTTACAGTCCTGAGGAGTGGATCAGCAGTGAGTCTACGGCCTGAATCAGTGCAATAAGGAGATACCCTCTGCTGAGCCTGAGGAAGGACAGGTTTAAGGTTGATATCCCAAGAAAGTAGTCAGATTGAAAAAAATCCCAAATTCTAAATGTAGTCCTATAGACTTCTCAGTTTTGGGGACAAAAAGATTCCATTTTTAACAGAAGCCAGCTTAAGTATGGTTTTCAGTAACTTGTTTTTTAAAAAGAGTACTAAATAAAAGTAAATATTTCTAGCACATTTTTAGAGAAAAGTAGAGAAAGTAGAAAAGTTCCCAACCACATGCACCAAGAATGGCTAAGAACTAACCTGGAAGGTAGTTAGGCCTTCACTTCTCAGCAGTGAGACACAGATACCCAGTTACTGCTTCCAGCTTCACCACCACAATTTGCCTCCCAAACAGGTAAGTGTGAAATGTGTATTATTAATAAAATAACTACTGTAAATATAAATTTCTACCCCTAACCATTTGATGATGGCCTAAGATAGCTCAGGTAAAAAAAAAAAAAAAAATTATCTATCTATCTATATATATATCTTTTTATTGGAAGCACAAAAAAGCTCCTAAACATTTTAAAGTTTTGAATTTAAACTTAAAACCAACCAGAAGTTAAGCAAATTAAAAGTGAGCATGAAATACTTGTGCATTCAAACTGAAAAATAATCAAATGCTGCTCTAAGAGTTTTTTAATGAACCACAGGAAAAATCTAAAGAAAAAAAAAAAATAATGCAGTAAAACAATTCAAAAGAAATCACAGCTGACCCTTGAACACCAGAGATTTGAACTGCACGGGCAACCCACTTACACGCAGATTTTTTCCAACCAAATGTGGATCGAAGACAGTATTCACAGAATACAAAACCTGCATATAAGGAGGGCTGACACTTCGCATACTCAAGTTCTACACAGATTCTGGTATTGGGGGATGTGGGGATGTCCTGGGAACAATCCCTGGTGTATACACCAAGAGACAACTGTACACTAAAGGGCCACTGCAGTTTTTGTGAACTGCTTTAGGCACGTGTCTCCAAGAACTTGGTCAATGAACACTGTTCCAGTCGTCTACACCAAGGAAGATACAAGTACAAAGAGAAATCGCTGTGTGTTTATTTTCAACTTTTAAAAAAGGTACGTAAATATATGTGCAAATTAGACATGAAATCACTTAAATTTATTCTTTGGAATTTATCTTCTAATTGTCCACTGTTAACCTTTATTTTAAAAAGTCACCTCCCATTAATACTGTGTACCTTCATAATGAACTAAAACTAGAACAAAAAGTATGTCATAATTTTTTATTGATGGCATTTATCCCATGGTTTAACATGTTAATTATACTGTAATAAACATGGCTTTAATATTAAACTTTTCCTTATTATCCAAAGTCACCACAGTCCATTTCAGTAAATATAAAAATATATGCTTAATACTTTGTACAATACTGGTTTTTGGTCCAAACAAAACTGGATCAGAAAAGCCAATAAATTCAACTTTAAGAATCCCCAATTTTTTTTTTAAAGATTTCTAAATGGATTTAGGCAACTTTGAATAATGGGATTTACATAATAAAATCTGAGACAAGACTAAACAACAAAAAAATTTCTAACATAAAATTCAAATTTCAAGTTCACAGATTTATGTTATGCCAAAAAAGTACAGAAACAAAATTGTATTTACACAAGTTTCATAATAAAATAATGAAAAAGGCAAGACAGGTGATAGAAGAATGAAAATATAGAAATAGCATATAATTATTAAATGGAAACCGAACTAGATCTAACAAGTCCTTAGCAGGGACCATTCTTTAATCAGGCTTCCTCTATCAGAAAATTTTAGTGCACAATACACCCAACTCACTCATTTCACACATACACCAGCACAAACTCGGCATAGAAATCAGTCAACATCCTCTAATCTATACAGAATTCTAATCTATACAGAATTCCTCAGATATAATTACAATTTCAATGCATTCCACAAATGCTTATCAACGCATATAGTGGTGCAGACAAAGAAGTTCTATACAAAGCCATTTGCCGTGCAGGCTCCATTCCTGGGTACAGCCAGACTATGTCAAATCAGTGAATAATCTGCTGGATGATAAAATATTTTTGCTGAACAATCAGTCACCAGTCTAGCTATTATTTTTTAAAAAGAGGGTGGGTGAGGTGGGGACGGGGCTTCCATAAAGAAAGAGAAAGGAGGAAAATTCCAAAAACTAAAGAAGTCCTTAGGCAGATCTGACTTCAGAAAACCCCATCACAAAGCACAATCCAGTATCTGAAAGCAGGGCACCAGCTGTTGTTAAAATTCTTGTGTATAACACACCAATGTGACCTTTATTTCCTGCGTCTAACAGCAGTCTTAATCTTGCGACCAGAAACTGAAGTTCCAGAAGAAGAGAACATATTTTTCCCATTTGACCTGTGAAAATAAAGACTTTATAATCTAACACAATGCCCAGAGCAAAATTTCAGAATCAAAACGTTTAATGTGACCAGTAACAAGGCAAGGAAAAAAAAGACACTGTTAAACACATTTGATGCTACACCTAGCACACATACCATACTGCTATTTTTCTCAGGCTATAATATCATCCACCAAATTGTAATGTGGTAAATTGATGTTGGAAAACGTATTTAATTTTATCAAAACTATATTGCATCTTGGTGACTTTTAAAAACAAAACACACACATGCACGCACTCTTACCAATGTAAATTCTGCATTGCAACAAAAAGTTCTCTTACCCCAATGTAAATGCTGCTGGAGACTGGTTAAAAGGAAAGCCCCCTGAGCCTGAAGGCTGGGCTGAGGCTGCAGATGTGCTAGGATTTGCACCAAATGTGAACACTCCTGATGGATTATTGTTTGTGAAGTTGAAATTTGTAGTGCTGCTGCCAAATTGGAAAACCGAACCTACAATAGTTAAAGCAAAAGTACTTCGTTAGGGCAAAATGATAGTTTTTTAGTAATGACGCTGACCTCTACATATAAAAACATGTAAATGGTTAAGATCCCTTATGGTCTCTTAATCTAAAGAAAAACAAAAATATTTTCTCCACTGACACACAGTAGTACATACTTGGCACCTCCAACAAATCACACAACTCACTCAGGACCAAGGAAAAAAGGGTAGAGTAGATTTTTTGTTAAAGATAGTAGAATCAACATATTAAGCTCTATCGTCTTTGAAAAGCGCATTAAAACAACAGTAAGGGGATTTTCACAAAGATGGGGAGAGAGGAGACAACAACAAAGTTTAGAAGCCGGAAGGCTGACTGGAGCTGATACTACACTAGCAGCAGGGAAAGTACAGAAGCAATTCCGTTTACACTAAACATACCCAAAAGATTTAGGTTCCAGGTACCTCTGGAAGTGAAAATGAAGGTGGGACTAAAAAAAAAAAAAAAGAAAAAAGAAAAAGAAAAAGAAAAAAAAGGGAAAGATGGTAGAATATCTGTATAAGAAGTAGATACCAAGACCTATCCCTCCCCAACACCAAACAAGATGGTAATTCTCTTTCATCCCAGCAGAACAATAATTTATTCTTTGGAGAAGTCTCTGGACTGGGGCACAAAATGCATAGTGTTCTTGCCCCTTAGGGCAAGAACATCATATTGAAAATAGGAATTAAGAGTAGGTTGATATCATCAATACAGAGAACTCTAGCCATCCTCCCTAACTTGGCTCACAGAACACTGGTAAGCAGAAGTTCTCTGATATACCAAGCAGGAGATTGGAAGCATCTTCTCTGGGGAATCTGACAGACTAAGAAGGAAGACCTAATGATACTAACCATCCTAATTTTCCCAAGTAAAATAAAGCTAGATAAACCTGTAATGAAATTCGACATCTGTAAGCCTATCAAGGTACAAAGGATTCAAGTGGTATTTAGGTATCCTACACTCATAAAACTATGACTAGATACCAAGGAGTACCAGACATTTGAAGATAGTATTTAGTAAGAAACACCATCTTGTCTGGCAGCTACCTGTGACATAGCTTCTGTTCCTAAGTTCCTATTAAATATTTCCTTCTAAGAGACAAATGAAGAAACACCGAGACCAAAATAACAATAGAGAAAAACAACTTGGAGAACACCGACTAAGAAGGAAACAAAACTTAAAAAAAAAAAAAGAAACAAAAACCTCACCATTAACGTCCTTAAGAGACCAATAAACACTACATTCATGAAAACAAAACCAGAGGAATATAAAAATGAAACATCCAGAAAACAAAAAGGAACACCTGGAAATTAAAGTCATATGGAAGTAAAATTTCAATAGAAGCAGTAGTATTAATAAAAAGACAGAGAAATCTATTCAGAAAGTACAAAAGGTAGAAAAAATGAGAGAATAGAAGCTAAAAAAAAAAAAACAAAAAAAAACTCAAAAAGAATGAATGAATGAATGATTGAGGGGCGAAATCTTCAAAGAAATAATTAAAGAAAATTCCCAAGAATTGAAGTTCACAAAAGAGCATGCTGCATTCTCTACACAATCAATGGATAAAAATGGACCCACAGGGGCTGGGCGCCTATAATCCTAGCACTCTGGGAGCCCACGGTGGGATGATTGCTTGAGCTCAGGAGTTCAAGATCAGCCTGAGCAAGAGTGAGACGCCCTTCTCTACTAAAAATAGAAAAAATTAGCCAGGTGTGGTGGTACATGCCTTTAGTCACAGCTATTTGGGGAGGCTGAGGCAAGAGGATTGCTTGAGCCCAGGAGTCTTGAGGTTGCTATGAGCTAGGCTGATGCCACGGCAGCAGTCTAGCCTGGGCAACAGAGAAAGACTCTGTATCAAAAAAAGAAAAAAGGACCCACACTAAGGCATGTCCTGGATGTGTCAGAGCAATGGAGTTAAAAAAAAGATTCTAACTAGATTTTAGAAAGGAGAAATAGGTCAAAAAGCAAAGATCAAGACAGACTTCACAAGCAATCCTAGAAACCAGAAAGTCTACAATGGAGAATTGTCTTCAAAATTATGAAAATTATTTCTAATCTCAATCTATATTCAACCAAAATCTTACCAAACATAAGGACAGAATAAAGATCCCTCCAGAAATGCATGGCCTCAAATTTTTCTTCCCCAAACCCTCAGGAAATCACTGAAGATGTGCTCTATCAAAAACAAGGGCGTGACAAAGACATGACACCCAGGAAACAGAAGTTCCTATAAGAAGCTAAAAGGAGTCTCCAAGATAATGGTAAAAAGAGAGCCCCCAAGAGCACAGTTAGTTAAACAGTAGGCCTAGAAAGCCTGGTGGGAGGAACAGCTGAAAAGATCCCATGAGAAAAGTTCTTCAAATGCTCATTTCAGTAGCACATATACCAAAATCCAAATGATATGGAGAAGATTAGCATGCCCCTGCATGAGGATGACATGCAAATTTGTGAAGCATTCTAAACTATAAAATACTGATGAAAGAAACCGAGGAGGACACAAACAAATGGAAAGAAATCCCACGCTCATGGATCAGAAGAGTCAATATTATAAAAATGCCCATACTACCCAAAGGCAACTGTAGGGGCCAGGGAGGAAACTAACCCTTTGCCCTGTGAAGGTTCACTGAAAAATCAACTCACAAAAGGCAGATTAATTGAAGAAAAGGCATACAAATTTATGAAATGTATATACACAGGAGCCTTTGGAATGAAGACCCAGTCTCCCAATGGAGTGCAAAAGCTTATATATCATTTTGAGGTTACAGAGAGAATGCTGGCTCAGAGAGCATGGCCAAAAACAGGTTATGGTAGTAAATCAGGTTTTAGTGGTAAGACAGGTTATGGGTGGGAGAGAAAACTTGGCTAGCAAAAGTCACCTTGTTATACATGTGAAACCTCAGGGCTTCAACTGGGAGCTGAGGCAGCCACCCTCAGAGAGAAGAGATGATACATGTTTCTTTTCAGACTTTTAAAGATGTCAGACTCTCAGTTAATCTTTCCCAGATGTGGACAAGGGAAGGCCTGGCTGCATCAGTGCAGATTCTCTACAGATGCAAATATCCCCCACAAAAGGCAGCTTTGCAGGCCCACTTCTGTTTGCTAGCCTTTTGGCAGCCATCTCAAAATATGTCAAAGAAATATATTCTGGGGTAAAAACACTTTGATTTCCTTCACAATCTACATACTCAATGCAATCCCTGTCAAAATATCAATGACGTTTGTCACAGAAACAGAAGAAACAATGCTAAAATTCATTGACGCCACAAAAGAGCCCAAACAGCCAAAGCAATCCTGAGCAAAAAGAACAAAGCTGAAGGCATCACATTATCTGACATGGAAATACACTTTGCTATAGTAACAAAATCAGCATGGCGCTGGCATAAAAACAGACACACAGACCAATAGAACAAAATAAAGAACCCAGAAATAAATCTACCTATTTACAACCAATTGATTTTCAACAAAGTGCCAAGAACATACATTGGGGAAAGGACATCTTCAATAAATGGTGCTGGGGAAACTGGATATTCACATGCAGAAGAATGAAACGACCCGTACATCTCACCATATATAAAAAGCAACTCAAAATGGATTAAAGACTTAAACATGAGACATGAGACTATGAAACTAGAAGAAAATATAGGAGAAACGCACCAGGACACTTAGACACTGGTCTAAGGGCAAAGATTTTGTGGCTAAGACCTCAAAAACACAGGTAACAAAAACAAAAATAGACAAGTGGGACTATGTTAAACTAAAAAGCTTCTGTACGGCAATGGAAACAACTGATGTACTGAAGAACCTCTGCTGAGTAAGAGAAAATATTTGCAAACTATTCATCCAACAAAGGACTAATATCCAGAATATACAAGGAACTCAAACAACTCAACAGCAAAAACAAGACCAAAAAACCATCACCCAAATAATCCCATTAAAAAGTGGGCAACGGAACTAAAAAGACACTTCTCAAAAAAAGACACACAAATGGCCAATAAACATATGAGAAAATGCTCAATGCACTAATCGTCAGGGAAACACAAATCAAAACCATAATGAGATATCGTCTCACTCCAGTTAGAATG